CCTCCCAGAAGAACTGAGTCTGGTCCTGGGCGAGGGAGCAGAACTGAGCCCCTTTTCTTCCCCCATTGCCACACCCCTGGTCCTCAGCGCTGAGCCCGGCTCTTAGCCCATGTAGGGGCTAACCCATTTAGGGGCCACAGTGAAAGGAGCAGTGGCTGGGGGATCTTGTTATCACTCTTGTCTGGATCTGGGTTTTCCCCTCTGAAAAATGGAACTCTCTGGGGTGCCTGGGTGGCTCAGTGGGTTAAGCCTCTGCCTTCGGCTCAGGTCATGATCTCAGGGACCTAGGATCGAGCCCCGCATCGCATCGGGCTCTCTGCTCAGCAGAAAGCCTGCTTCCCCCCCACTCTGCCTGCCTCTCAGCCTGCCAGATCTCTGTCTGTTAAATAAATAAATAAATAAATAAATAAGAAAAATGGAACTCTCTATCTAGAGGGACTCTCAGGCTTGGGGATAGCAGGCTGAGGACTCGTGAGACTCACGGGGGTCACTCGAAGATTCTCATCCACTAGGGCCTCCCGTAGCACCAAATGCCCAGTACTCTGTAGCTGCTGCAGGGAGATCACCAGGGTCCCGAGAGACCTGTGGGTATGGCAGGGAGCAGAAGAATGACCCACAAGGATAGCCCCACACCACGTCCAGCCCCACACCATGTCCAGCCCCACCTGCATCCTTGGCTCCCCCAGGCCTACTCACCTGGGGCTGAACATACGGCTGCAGTTAACCACCTGCACAGACAGGCACTCCCCAACCAGCAGAGCCCCATAGTGTGGCCAACGGAACAGCTGAGGATAGGAGGAATCTTGTGATACATGACGCTGGGCTGACCCTGATCACCAGTCCAGAACCTATCCTAACCCTAAAACAGGATCCAACCCTCCAAACTTGGAGCTAACTCTCTGACTAATTTATCCTAAACCTGGAACCAAACCCTCCTCCCCCAACACAGGGTTAACTCTAAACTAGGGCTGATTGGAGGGTAACTAACAGTCAAGAACTAATCCCCCCAGTCTTGATTCTGACTGGGTCTGGCTTCTCAAGTCTGAGACTGATCCCACTTCCTGAGAATACAGCTCCCAAAACCCACGAATGTGCTCCCCAGCTCATCTAAAGAGGTACTTAGATGGCGCACAGATCAGCTTCTCCCCCTCCAGGACCCAACCCACTCACCTCACTGATATCTGCTTCTTGACCACAGCGAATTCTCCTTGTTTTTTGGGTGAAGCCTGCTCAGAATTGAAATAGTCATTTAGCAGCCCTTCCCCACAAAGAAATCACACACACACACACGCCCAGACCAGGGTCCAGTCCCCCTGGGTTCACCCTTAAAGAAAGGTAGAAGAGGGACAGGGAAGAGGCAGAGAACTGGGCTTGGGGAGGAAGGAGACAGGCTGGAGAGATGCCTAGGCACTGGATTGGGGGCCTAGGGAATGGAGAAACGGGAGCCCCCCAGTTACAAAATCCTTAGAACACCCCTACAAAGCCTCACCCCGAAAGCTGAGCCTCACTTGTCGGTCATGGGTGCCCGGCAGCCCCGTTAGTCGCTGCACACACACTGTCAGAGCCATTGTCCCAGGGCGACTGGCTCTCCCTCTGCCCACCTGCCCTCCTGCCCGCTCACCCCGTTTGCCTCTGACTCAACTGGACTCACCCAGCAGGTTCAGCAATCCCTACCCTTTAGTCAAACACATAGGAAGGCCTGGGGGTCATGGGTGGAGAGGGAGCCAAAGGACTGAGAAAAGGGGGTAAGGTCCCTGTGGTCAGCTCAGGCCTCCCTGCCTGCACCAGCTTTACCTCCATCCTGCATGCATTCTTGGGAAGTGGGAGCTGGAATAAGGTGGAGATGGAGTCAAGGGGAGAGACAGGACCCTACTCTGTCCCCACTAGCCAATGAGGCCTCAGAGCACAGGTCTCATGATGCTTCTTATTTATTTCTCTGTCCTGAGTGCCCCACTGAGGGTCTAGTACATGGTAGACCCTCAAAAAACTGACTAAATAAATGGATGGATTAATAAATGAATCCCCTGGCCCCCAGCATTAGTGCTGCGGGTGCTCAACACATTGGAATTAATGAGTGGTTGAACGTATGTCCCTAGCTTACACACAGCAAGTGTTCAGAACACTTCTTACCCAGGAGCCAGAGGTCTTTAACTTGGGGACTTGGGGTCTTACTAATGGGACCATAGAGAAGCTCCAGGGGATCTGAAAGTTCTTGAAATTGTCTATAAAATATTGAACAATTGTGCATTTTCTGGACATAGAGCTCCTCACTTAGGTTAGTGACCATTAAACAGATGTGCAGTACTTTTACTGAATGAAGGAATGAATGTATATGGTAGCCTGCACCCAGGTGTGAATGTAACTAGGTGTGGAGTGCCTTATCCTGACTATGCATTTCACCATTCTGTTTAAAGACACCTGCTATAGGCAAGACTTGTGCTATGCAGCCACGTTGGGGAAGGGTGTAGCCACAGAGGGGACCCACACACATTCTCTGTCTTCCAGTAGCTTAGTTGCATCACAGATTCCAACACCAAACAAAGTAACTGCATTGCCCATCAGAGCAGGAAAGGGTCAGGACTGAGGAACTCAAGAGGAGGGTGGCCAGAGGCGCTTACCCTGAGAAGACAGTGTTTAAGATGGCCTTTTGAGGGGGCACCTGCCTGCCTCAGTCTGTAGAGCATGTGATTCTTGACCTCAAGGTCATGAGTTTAAGGCCCACATTGGGCATGGAGCCTACTTAAAAAAATAAATAAGTAAAATAAAATGGGCTTCCAGGACAGGGTTTGAGCAGAGAAAGACATCCAGGCAGTGGAAAGGAATGCTGGGTGGGTTCTGGAACTGGCAATTTGTCATTTTGGCTTCTGTCCAAGGAATGTATCAGGCAGCAGCAGAGATAAGATTAGACCTTCAGAGGAGCTGGGTCTTGCTGTGTGGCCTTGAGTCAGACTTAGTCAGTCCCTCCTTGTGCTTCAGCTTCTCCAACTTAATAGAGGGGTTAGAAAGCCCTGATCTGTTTCCCAGGTGTTACCTGCCCAAGCAAGCTTTGAGGTCTACAGAACACAAGACAATCAGGCATGGGTTGTCCCATTTTTAAGTAAGGTCCAGGTTAGACCTTAAGGCCCCAGTTACTGGGGGAAGGCTTCACCTCCCCAGTTGACAGGGGCAGTGGGATCCAAAGGAGGTCAGAGAGGGGACCAGAATTCTTAGCTCGCAGTGCCTTGACCTTTCCCTCCTTTCACCTCGATCTCTGTGGCATCTAATCAAGCAGGGTATTCATGCCACCCTTCTGGAAACTAATGTGGGCATTTCCTTTCCTCCTCTCCCTCTCCTCCTCCTTGTCCTCCTCCTTCTCCTCCTCCTCTTCCTTCTTCTTCTTCTTTTAGTTTTACTTATTTGATAGGGGGAGAGAGAGAGAGAGAGAGAGAGAGAGCAAGCAAGACCACAAGAGCAGGGGGAGGAAGAAGGAGACTCCTGGCTCAGGGAGCTCCATGCGGGGCTCACTTCCAGGATACTGGGATTGCCACCAGAGCCAAAGGTGGATGTGCTCAATGAAATGAGCCACCCAGGCATCCCAGGCACATCCCCTTCTGGGCAGGAACACAGCCTGGCAAGTTTTCACTCCCCCTCATCCCCTCTAAGAACTGCCACTTTCTCTTCCTAACATTCCAAAGAAAATGGGATGTGGCAGAAAGTACTGGGCTCCAGGGCAGGATTTTGGAAATCTAATCTCTATCATAAAATGTGTGGACTCTAGAAACTCCTTTCCCCTTTCTGGACCTATTTGCCTAGTTGTGTAATGTGTATAGAATGCACTGCATTGCTTTTCAAAGTGTGATTCTTAATCAGGATCACACATACGGTTGTTAAAAATGCACATTCCTGCACCCACTCAAGAAATGCTCAAGTAGAATCTCACAATGTACCTGGGAACCTGAATTTCTATTCTATTGCACAGCAGGATAAATGGTTTCTTGGCTGTGACCATCTGCAATTCCTCATTCCAATTTTGGTATCGCAAGATGGTCGGAGTGTGGGTATGGTGGTTGATGGGTGCTGAATTCTCACCCCATGGACTCCTGGTGAACATGGGTCTGGGAGAGGGAAGCATAGATCCTGAGGTCTGAGTTCTCTGGCCTGAGGACTAGGAAGAGAGGACGGGCCTGAAGGGTTTGCTGATCAAAAGAAACTAAGTGTTTATTTAGAACTGCCCTGGGTGACTCCCTTCCCCTTCTTCTTCTTCTTTTTTTTTTTTTTAAGATTTCATTTATTCATTTGACAGAGAGACAGAGAGAAGGAGGTCACAAGCAGGGGGAGCAGCAGAGCGAGGCAGAGGGAGAAGGATGCTCCCTGCTGAGCAAGGAGCCGGATGCGAGGCTCCATCCCAGAACCCCAGAATCATGAGCTGTGCGGAAGGCAAAAGCCTAACCGACTGAGCCGCCCAGGTGCCTCCCCACTCTACCCCTTCTTAGTATTCATTCATTAGACCTATCTAGGTCTTGAAGGATACACTAGTGAACAGGACAAAAATCCCTGCCTTCATAAAGTTTACGTTCTAGTGGGTGTGACAGGCAATGAAGAAATATGTAAGTAAAATATACAGCATATAGGTGACATGAGCTGAGGAGAAAAACTAAGCAGGAAGGGGGCTAAATAATCTTTTAAAACAAGTGCATAAGATAGGGCGTTCTGGGAAGTGATGTGATGTCATCGTTTGCTTTAACATGGGAAAGAACAAGAGACTGCCATGGCTCCCAGGGCTGTCACGACTAGTTCTGTGACGCACTCTCAGGGAGTTCCGTAGAGACTATAGGCTCCTTTATGACGTCAGCAGCCGGGCTCAGCTACGAAGGAGAGGGTTGAATCTGGCTGGGGGGGCCCGTCGGCCGCACACAGGGTCTGTGGGGTCCCGGCGGCGCACATCGGTTGAGGGAGAGCCGAGGGCCTTGGCGGCTGCGGCGGCGACTTTGGCGTCCGTGAGAGGGCGCCTCGGGGTCAGGATGCGGCGGAGCCCCCGCCCGGGCTCGGCCAAGTCCCCTCACAAGCACACATCCAACTTCTACAGCGACAACAGCAACAGCTCAGTGAGCGTCACCTCGGGGGACAGCAGCCGGCAACGGTCAGCTGGGCCGGGCCCCGGGGAGCCTGAGGGCAGAAGAGCCCGGGGCTCGAGCTGCGGTGAGCCCGCCTTGAGCGCAGGAGTGCCCGGAGGAACCACATGGGCTGGAAGCTCTCGGCAGAAGCCTGCGCCTCGGAGCCACAATGGGCAGACCGCCTGTGGCGCGGCAACCGTGAGGGGCGGGGCCTCGGGTGCGGGCGGGGTCGAACCCGGGAGAGCTGAGGGAGGGGGCGGGGTCCAGGGGGCGGGGCTTGCACGGAATCGGGATAAAATCTAGGGGGCTACCACCTAAGGGGCGGGGCCTGTAGGGCGAAGAGGGAGGTGTCAAATACGATTCCCTAGGGGGCGGGACCTTGGTGTGATGGACGGTCCTGGGAAGGGGCGGGGATACCCCGTAATTGGACACCACTGAGGAGGCGCGGTCTCGGTGTTTGCATAAGTAGCTACTATAAATAAGGCGGCACCAAGACTCGTCTGAGGGCGGGGCCTCCGTTCCGCCGAGTTACCAACATCTTGACTGAGCATCCTTGAGGGGCGGGGCCTCAGAGTGCAGAGAGACCTAGGGTGGGGATGCGGTGGGACCAGTGCCCGTGGAGGCTGCCCCGCTTCTGGGCTGGGAAATCTGCGGCCCGGTCCCGGGGAAAGAATGAACCTGCCTTGCGCAAGGCCCCAATGGCGCCCCTGGGCTTCCGCAGAACCGGCTGGATCTCCCGTAGCCTCTGAGGAGCAGCTCGACCTTCTCTCGACCCTGGATCTGAGACAGGAGATGCCTCCACCGCGCGTGTCCAAGAACTTCTTGAGTACGGGCCACGCCAGCCCGGAGCCCCTTTGACCCTCTGGCTCCCCTCTCTGAACTCCAGTCCTCATTTCTGAGAGACCTGCTCGTTCTGAGCCCCGCGCCCATGTCAGGCTCCAGCCCCTTCCCTGAGCCCGAGCCACTTTCTCTGAGCCTGAACTCGTTCTCCTTGCCCTCATCTAATTCTCCTAGCCCACCCTTCTCTTCCCAAGACCCTCCTGAACCTATCTGAGCCCTTCTTCATCTCTGCCCCAACTCTTCTCTCCAGGCCTGCTGTTGCAGGTGCTGAGCGTGTTGCTGTCCCTGGCAGGAGACGCGCTGGTCCTTGTATACAGGTCAGAGGGAGGGAATGGGGCGGGGAGCAGGGCCGGACCCGCGGAGGCTTGAGCCTGTCTCAATCAGACCTGGTTGGGTCCTGTCAGCAGAAGCTGGGTTTAGGACCTGGCGTGGGGCTGCGGGGCGCATTAGGGTCCGGGCCTCAGTCTCCCTCCGGTTCTTCAGGGAGGTCTGTTCCATCCGGTTCCTGCTCACAGCTGTGTCACTGCTGAGCCTCTTTCTGGCAGGTAAGGGGGTGGTGAATCCCCTGGGGCCCCAGCCCTGGATGCTTTGCAGCCAAACCCGGCACATTTTCTTCTGTATCCCTCAGCCCACTCAAGGCCTTCAGCTGCTCACAGTCCCCTTCAGAGCCCACTAGCCCCCCTTAGATCCAGCAGCCCCCCTCAAGCCTTTTCTCTCCTCACCACCCCTTTATGCCAAGGAAACCCTCTCCCTTGGCTTGCCCTGAGACCACCCTTCTTTCTCCAGCACTCTGGTGGGGGCTGCTGTACCTGGTTCCTCCTTTGGAGAATGTGAGTCAGGGCAACTGTATCCCAGGGTGGGTGGTTGGCAGGGTATGAACCTGGAAATTGTGGAGTCCCTTCAGCTAGTGGGAGGGGACAGTGCTGGAGGCTCCAATCCTAACAAAGGGATATAAACAGATCTCTCTGAAGGATTGTGCCCAGAGGAGGTTGGGGGTCTCTGAGAGGTCCTGGCAGGTCAGGGAAGGGGAGGCAGTCCTCAAAAAGTAGGCCCTTTGAGTCAGGCTGCTCCCAGGCTGAAGTGGGAGAAGAGAGTGGGTGGGAGCTGAGCAGCGTTGTATTTTGTCCCTCCCTCCCTCCAATAGGAACCTAAGGAGATGCTGACTCTAAGGTGAAAGGGCACCTGGGGTGGGGAATCAGGGGGCTCAAAGGCACTTCTGTGCAGGACCTTAGGGGAAGTGCCCAGGGGGACAGGGAGCCAACCTCGCTGTGCCAACCTCCCGCCTACAGTGAGTACCACGAGCGTGTGCGCTCCCAGGGGCAGCAACTGCAGCAGCTCCAGGCCGAGCTGGATAAACTACACAAGGAGGTGTCCATCGTTCGTGCAGCCAACAGCGAGGTGAGGCCTGCAGCCTCCTGTCTGTCCAAAGTGCTGCCCGTGTCTCCACACACTGCTCAGTCCAAGGTCCACCTTGGAAGCCCCTTGAGGAGCCCGTTCCTTGGGTCTGGAGCAGTAAACCCTACCCCAGAGCCCCAACTTGGGATTTCTCTCTCGGGGTCCACAAAATCCAATCCAGAGAACCTAGTCCCGGAACTCTACTTCCCTGTAAATCCACCTGCAAGCTCCATCCCTCCAGGACCTGCCCTCCTTCTTTTCAGAGAGTGGCCAAGATTGTATTCCAGAGGCTGAATGAAGACTTTGTGAGGAAACCCGACTATGCCCTCAGCTCTGTGGGTAAGACCCAGAGACACTGCAAGACTGAGACTCGGAGACACAGAAAATGATGGAGACATTGACACAGACAGACCTACACATATGACCAGACCAAAAAGATGGACCTCAGAGACCCTGCCCCAGCTGTTGGTCAGGCCTGGAAGCCTGTGAATGATTGCTTCTTCCTGCTCCAGGGGCCTCCATTGACCTAGAGAAGACATCACATGACTATGAAGATGCAAACACTGCCTACTTCTGGAATCGCTTCAGCTTCTGGAATTACGCGCGGCCGCCAACAGTTATCCTGGAGGTGGGCCTGGAACCTGGATCCCAGAATCAGACCAGGGGCGGGATGTTGGAGAAAGGACCCAACAGCTCCCTATTGGTGGGACCCAATGGAACTGAGGTCATGGTGCTAGGTGGGGTCCTGCCTGGCAGAGGATTGCCCCGCTGAAGGCCGGGTCTAGTGGTCCTCGGGACTGTGGCACTTAACAGGATCTGGCAGCACAAACACCCAGGCTCCAGGTGGAAGGCTGGGTGGGGCCAATGAAGAGGTTGGGCTAAGGGTTGGCCCTACCTGAACCAATGCCCAGGCTGGGGAAGGGCCGTAGTTGCTCTGTTGAGGGTTCTGAAGGTCTTCCTGCTCGCCTACAGCCAGATGTGTTCCCTGGGAATTGCTGGGCTTTTGAGGGCGACCAGGGCCAGGTGGTGATCCGGCTACCGGGTCGTGTGCAACTGAGTGACGTCACCCTGCAGCATCCACCACCCAGTGTGGCACACACCGGGGGAGCCAATAGCGCTCCTCGAGACTTCGCAGTCTACGTGAGTGGGGCTAAGGCTAAGGAGGTGGGGGATTTTGCCTAGAAAGTACCAGTTATGAAAATTGGTGTCACTGAGTCTTCGCCTGCTCATCTATAAAATGGAGATATTACCACTCATCTCTCAGGCCTACAGATTGTAATTACAACCATATCCAAACATTAGGTATGGCTTTATTGAGCACTTATTCTGTGCTAAGCACTTTAAATGGATCATCTCCTTGCATCCAGTCAACAACCTAAGAAGTATTTTCATCTCCCCCCCCCTCACTGATGAGGAAAGTAATGCTCAGAAAGGGGATGTTATTTGCCAAGGTCACACAGCTAACAATTGGCCAAACTAAACTGCGAACTTCTTAGAGCCCATGTCCCACACCATACTATCCTAACACCAAAAAATGAGAGCGTGCATACAACTATGCCATAGTAGGTCCTCAATAAAGTTGCTTTCTCCCTCTTCCACCTGTGCCTCACTGTTTTTCTACTCACTCTTCACCCACCAGGGCCTCCAGGTTGATGATGAGACTGAAGTTTTCTTGGGGAAATTCACCTTCGATGTGGAGAAATCAGAGATTCAGACTTTCCACCTACAGGTGTGTGTCTCTGGGGGTAAGGGTGCTAAAGGAACGGGACAGCAAAGGAAAACTGGGGAGGAAGGCAGCCCTTGGGACAGCAGGCTTTGGCATGAACCATTTGTCTCTCCAGAATGACCCCCCAGCTGCCTTTCCCAAGGTGAAGATCCAGATTCTAAGCAACTGGGGCCATCCCCGTTTCACGTGCTTGTATCGGGTCCGGGCCCATGGCATGCGAACTTCAGAGGGGGCAGGGGACAGTGCCACAGGGGAACCCCATTAAAGATGCTGATTGTTGGAGTAGAGTGCAGGTCTGTGCTAAAAGCAGCTGGATCCATGCTGAGGGGGGTAGGGAGGGCTCTGGTTGCCTTTGGCATATAAATATGGCGGTGGGGGGGGTCTACTTTCCAATCCACCTTCTTAATTTGGAGAAATTCAGATCAGTAAGATAGCAGCTCATGTTTATGGAGTGCTTACCAGGCACAAGAGAGGGTACTCTGGACATTCTACACATTAGCTAATCCTCGTAACTTCAGAGGGGGAACCGCTCAGGTCAGGAACTGCTCAAGGTCACACAGCTAATGAACAACGCCACAGTGGAACCCAAACCCACCTTCTTCCAGAGGCCACCCTCTTTAACTCAGAGCTGCCAGTCAGCCTGAAGCTGTATTTGTGCACCTCAATTCCTACCTCTATACTCTGGGACAGTCTCCCCAACTCCCACAGGTACAGTTGGAGAAGTTAACTACCGCTTTTCTTGAACTAAACATTCAAAAACTAAGGAGACTTGAGAATCTCTAGGAAGCATCGGAGTCAGAACTGACACAGGCCTTGTAGTCCCATCTCAGGCTGTCTTTACTATAAGGCCCAGTACAAGTGGTCTAGTGTTCATCAATCCCTGCCCTCAGGGAGCCTGACAGGGGAGGGAGGATGCTCCAGGAAACAATTCCTTTATTGATCCAAGAATTCTTTACTCTAAGGGTCAAAGTAGAATTGAAAAAATAAAGGATGGAGGAATCAGGCATCAAAGATTAAGGAGTTCTACGTAGGCAAAAAGAAAAGGGGGACCAGCCTGGGCAAAGGAACATGCACCATCTTGCCTGTTGAGATCCTCCCAGTGTATGCATGCACTGGAAGAATATATATACAGATTATAAACAGTGCTTAGATCTCTAGGAAGTGGAATGCATGCATATATGTGAGAGTGGAGCACATATCCATTTGTTTAAATTTTCAGGATATTACTTTCATAATTTAAATTACTCTACTGAGGGGCACCTGGGTGGTTCAGTTGGTTGAGCAGCTGCCTGGGATCTCCCTCCTGCTTATCCCTCTCCCTCTGCCTGTTGTTCCTCCTGCTTCTCTGTGAAATAAATTCTCTGTGAAATAAATAAAATCTTTTTTAAATAAGTAAAATAAATAAGTACTGAATGCTCTCAAAGCCTAAGGTTAGAAATACGAACTAATATAGGTTCTCTGGAGGGCAGTTTCACAATGGGAACCAAAAGCCTTAAAACTTTTTATTATTCTGGGAGCCTGGATGGCTCAGTGGGTTAAGCCTCTGCCTTCCGCTCAGGTCATGATCTCAGGGTTCTGGGATCGAGTCCCACATCGGGCTCTCGGCTCACAGGGAGCCTGATTCCTCCTCTCTCTCTCTGCCTGCCTCTCTGCCTACTTGTGATCTCTGTCTGTCAAATAAATAAATAAAAAACTTTTTATTATTCTCTGGGGCGCCTGGGTGGCTCAGTGGGTTAAAGCCTCTGCCTTTGGCTCAGGTCCTGGGATTGAGCCCTGCATCGGGCTCTCTGCTCAGCAGGGAGCCTGCTTCTCTCCCTCTCACTCTCTGCCTACTTGTGATCTCTGTCTGTCAAATAAATAAATAAAATCTTAAAAAAAAAAACAAAACTTTTTATTATTCTCTAATCATAGTAATTTCATTCCTAAGAATGGAAACAAAGGATATATCAATATAATCAAAGATAATACTTTTAAGGATATTCATTACACTATAAAGAGAATACAGAAATAATAGATAATAAACCAATTTTTATTAATTAATTTATTTGAGAGAGACAGAGAAAGAACATGAGCAGGGGAAGGGTTGAAGGGAGAGGGAGAAGCAGACTCCCTGCAGAGCAGGGAGCCCGTCGTGGGACTTGATTCCAGGACCCTGGGATCATGACCTGAGCTGAAGACAGACACTTAACTGACTGAGCCACCCAGGAATCCCATATAAGATGATAAATTATACTACCAAAATAATGTGACCAAAAGAAATGGTAATATTTAAGGGAATGTTTAATGTCATGGAAAGCAATTCATGATATATGGATAATTTCTTAAAAAGCAAGCTAGACTGGTACATAAACTTCCAAAAAATTCTATGGATTACAAGATACTATAAATGAAAAGGCAATAACTTGGAAGGAAATATTTTCCACATGTGTAAGAATAAAGGCTGAAACAACCAAAAAAACCTATAAATAGACTATTCAGAAGAAATATAACTCACAAATACATGAAATGGTACCACGCCTTCAAAATTAAATAAATTCAAGCTAAAAATGAAAATATTTTCTGCTTGTCAGATTAACAGAAAAAGGGATACAAAAAAATGTTGTTATAGAAGGCAATTTACAGTTATCTATTAAAATTTTAAATATTCACATCCTTTGATCTAGCATTCTACTTCTAGAAACTTCCTTCAGAAATATTGTGGCAAATGCACAGATAAATGTAAAGAAATATTCATTACAACACTTTGTAATATTGTAAAATTGGAGGGGACCCAAATCTCAATAAATAAGACTGGGGGCGCTTGGGTGGCTCAGTGGGTTAAAGCCTCTGCCTTCAGTTCTGGGCATGATCCTAGGGTCCTGGCATCGAGCTCCGTATCGGGTTCTCTACTCAGCAGGGAGCCTGCTTTCCCCCCTTTCTCTGCCTGCCTCTCTGACTACTTGTGATCTCTCTGTCAAATAAATAAAATCTTTAAAATAAATAAATAAATAAATGACTGGCTAAATAAGCTGTAAGATACTCATACACAGAGTAATTTATGCATTAAAAAGAATAAGGTCACCAATAAGTTCTAATGGGTAAGGCACGCAAAATAAAATAAAAACAAGGTACAAAGAGTATGCGTAATAGAATATCCTACTTAGAAAAAATGTCAGACCTAGGAAAGATAGGAACCCTCACCTGCTCAATTATCTATTTTATAAAATATTTATATTTGAAATAATTTTGTACTAACATGCATTTTATTTTATTTTTTTTTAAAGATTTTATTTATTGGGACGCCTGGGTGGCTCAGTTGGTTAAGCAGCTGCCTTCGGCTCAGGTCATGATCCCAGCGTCCTGGGATCGAGTCCCACATCGGGCTCCTTGCTCATCAGGGAGCCTGCTTCTCCCTCTGCCTCTGCCTGCCATTCTGTCTGCCTGTGCTTGCTCTCTCTCCCTCTCTCTCTCTCTGACAAATAAATAAATAAAATCTTTAAAAAAAAAAAGATTTTATTTATTATTTATTTGACAGAGAGAAAGAGAGAGAGAGACAGATCACAAGTAGGCAGAGAGGCAGGCAGAGAGAGAGAGGAGGGGAAGCAGGCTCCCTGCAGAGCAGAGAGCCCTATGCGGGGCTCCATCCAAGGATCCTGAGATCATGACCTGAGCCGAAGGCAGAGGCTTTAACCCACTGAGCCACCCAGGCGCCCCTGTACTAACATGCATTTTAAAGCACGTTAAAATAGTATGTATAATATGACCCCATTTTTGTAAAATAAAAAACATGTATAGATTAGAGTTTTGCAAGACGGACTAAAAAATATCCCCAAATATTTTTTTGGCACATGGGGCATACTATTTTATTTTTTTCTGTATTTTCTTTTATAATGAAAATACGTTATCAATTTTCTAGTAAAAAAAATTAGCTGTTAAAAAGATTCAGGATTCTAGGGGCGCTTGGGTGGCTCAGTGGGTTAAGCCTCTGCCTTCGGCTCAGGTCATGGGCTCAGGGTCCTGGGATAGAGCCCCGCATCGGGCTCTCTGCTCAGCAGGGAGCCTGCTTCCCCCTCTCTCTGTGCCTGCCTCTCTGCCTACTTGTGATCTCTGTCAAATAAATAAATAAAATCTTAAAAAAAAAAAAAAAACAAAACACACCACTTCTCCCTCCTCCAGAAGACTAGCATAGTCCTTAAACTCATCCCTCGCCTAGCATGTTCCACCTTATCTGTGTTCCCAGCTCAGCCTTGTCCTAAGGCAGGGCAGGCTGGCTGTTTGGCTCACATTTGATCCTTGTATTTTAAAAACAGAAGCGTTTCTAGACTTCTGGCCTGGAATACCGAATTTCTTTGCCTAGGCCTATGATGTCAGAGGTATCCTTCACTCAACGACCTCTAATGGGATAAACCGAGGCTCAGGAAAAATAAACATGGCTAAAAGTCAAAAGTGGGACTTTTTCAGTCCCACTCAAAAAGAGAGTGGTGGCAAAGCAGTTGGTCTTCATTGATCTTTATTAAATGAAGGACTCCAGGTGCAAGCAGGAGGGATCAAGAGCAACAGCAGGAGCAAATATAAAAGTATAAAATGTAAAGTGCAGCACTGGGGAATGTGTGTAGGGTTGAACCATGCCCACAGAGACCTTGGGGACACAAGGCTGAGGACCAGCCATAGCCCACCCTCTGAGGGAATCTAAGCCTGAGGAGTATGTGCAGGGCTCTTGGCTGGGGGTGGAAGTGGCTTGAATGGGGCCCAACCTTGGGCCTTGAAGTAGGAGACGAGTTGCGTGGGTACTTCTGCAAGCACAGTCTGTGCCAGTGTCTCCCGAGGGGCCTGCCAGGAGAAAAAGGGCAAGGTCAGTGATGACCCATAACAGCTTCCCAAAGTCTACATTTCATACCCAAAAAAGGATACAAAGAATATAAACCCCAACACCCAACCCTGCCCCAATGGAAGGGTGAGAATCCCCACTCAGAGAGGTGGAAGGATAAACTCCCAGATCTGGTCTGCCTCCAGGCTTGTCCCCACTCACATTCTGGAAGCGGCGGTAGGGCACAAACTGCACTATGTCACGGGCAGCTGCCTCCCCAGAGCGTGCACGCAGGGGTCCACCATCAGCATCCAGCTGCTCCATGGCCTCGAAGTCAGCACCACCCACACCCACAATGATCACTGACATGGGCAGGTGGGAGGCATGCACCACAGCCTCACGTGTAGCCTCCACATCTGTCACAGCACCGTCAGTCAGCAGCAACAGCACGAAGTATTGCTGGGGATAAGTCCATTCAC